GAAATACCCATGTGAAGGAGCAGACAAATTCATTGACAAAGAAAGAAGTGGTAAGGCAGCAAGGATGCCCCAGGACAGAAGCCTCATGCGCATTTCTCCATAAATACCAGACCCTACTACAACCATTTACAAAGTTGCAGGGATGGTACCTAACTGCAAGGCTTTGACAGCCTCTCAGACTTGCCTGCTGCTCATCCATTACTCACTAAGGGAGAGAGTACCAAGTTACTCAACACTACACAAAATGGCTTCCAAATATGCATAATGAAAAAGGCATCAAATGAGCGTACTTTATAAGTGAAAAGATACAGCTGCCTACACAGAAAATGGAAAGTGAGGAAGAATGTGAGCAAAAAATAATTTCTTTCACGAGTATTTGTCTAACTCACCCTAAATGGGAACTTGATTCCTATCTGCAATACAAAATTCCACCCTTATAAACACAGAAGTCTACCAGAGCAAGAATTAAAAGCAGAGCATGACCCACCTGAGGTAGCTTCTTGTGAGCACAGTTTACTCCTCCAATGAAAATTATGTTGGGCATCAAGGGTCTTGGATAATCTAATGCAAAATCTAACCTCATGAGCCAAATAGAAGCCTGGCGTAAGAGATCCGGCACAGTCACATCCCGCTGGAGGAACTCAGAAGCCAGTTTTGCATACGGTTGAAAGACAAAATCACAGAGAAAATAATTTGGGATGTCAAGGATTAGGTTCTTCACCCGTTGGAGAAAGTTCATGCGGTCTGTATGGTCTGTAAACATCCTGGGGACATAAGAAGGGGGACTGGGACACTGAGTGGCTTCAAAATCTAAACCACATGGCATTCCTCGCAAAAAAAACACGGAAGGGACTGAAAGATGCTCCGCCAGAATCTGCCCACAGGGTATTGCCGGGTCTGTAAGGGCAGCGTCAAACTTGCTCTCCTCAAGATATCTGACAAGCTCTTTGTTGTACAGTAAGTGTGCACAGCTGGAGCTTGCCAAATCAAAGAATCTTTTCGTACTTTGGTATAGTTTAAGAAATCTTTCCAGGTAAGATCCTTCTTTAAGTACATCTCGTAAAAATGCCTGGAAATTCTCATCCATCTCTTCCTGTGTGAAAGGGACTGGGTACATTTTCATAACAAAATTCGTTGTTGGCTTTATGTAGTAACTGATTTCAGGTGCAATGACAACTATTTCATGTCCCTTCTGCCTGAGACCGTCCAACACTTCCCGCATGCTGAGCCAATGACTCCCGTCCACCGGCACCACCAGCAGCTTCCCACCAGCAGCCAAACTGAGCATGGACAGGAGCAGAACCAGCGCCACTGTGACTTGCAGATGAGCAGTAAGCACCGGGGCCATTTCTGCAGAAATCTGGTGAGTGCTGCACAGAAAGAAAACCACTGGCAGCACTGAAGCAATAGCACCAGCTCTGCGCTTTTAAGCAGTATGTGCTACTGCCTAACTTTTGATCCTTGGAGTTATTTGCTGTGTGGTAAATGGATAATCATTCATTTGATAAATGGATGCATATTAAGCATTAATTCCAGCCAAGTTCACAGGCGGGTTGTGTGTGGTGACGCACCAGGTAACCCCCATCTGTTTCTAGTACAGGAACAGTAAAGAAAGTCCCAGGAAGGAGGCAGGGGCGGTTCTGGGTGGGACTGCACTTCTGATAGCTTCCCTCTGGCTGAACCTTTTGCAAGTGCAGGAGGTGTGTCACATCCACATCACTATTCAACCTAGTAGAGGCTACTCCCTTCCCCCTGGACAAAACCTGCCCCCCACCTACCCACCCATCTCTTTGAACACTCATCTCTAGGAGGCCTATGGCCCCATAGCAGATGTGGAAGAGCTGTTTAAGACTGTTTCTGGAGTGAGAAGGCTGACGAAGATGGAAGCACGATGCCAGGTTTGTCCGCAGGACACATCACCCACACTAAGCGGTACTTCCAGTGTCTGAGACCTGCCTCAGGGGATGGAGGGGCTGGCTTTGTGAGCTCAGAGGACAGAGCAGACATGTCTGAACACTCATTGAGGGGGACTTCCCATGAAACAATTCAGGGCCTAATTCTTTTTTGTCACTGGCAAATCTTGCATGGTGTCCAGCAGCAGTGGAGTTGCATGAATGCTCAGGTGGCAAATTACAGTGTGCGTGAGGACGTCTGTAAGATGCCACAGCCACCTCCGCCACTTGGAGATGGGTGGAATTGCCACACAGGGTTGGTGGCCTCACCCCATGGCCAAAAGTCCTAAATAATATGACTGAAGAGAAAGCCAGGGCACCAAAAAGAATAGCACAGCTCTCCAGGCTCTCCCACAGAGCAGCAGAGGAGGCTCTCCAGTAAGAACTGCATGCATTGCTATCTTCTACGTCCAAGGCACGCAAAGTACATGCCACGTCTGAAAGGTTAGCATAATCACCAAGGCTGCATCCACCCCCTTAGTGTTAGTCATGCTGTGCTGGACGTGTCAAAGCAGATCTGCTCCATGGCTCCATTCATCAGGACTGGGTTTTTGAGCCTGGAAAGAGCTTTTAAGGTTTTGTGGGCCATCCCATGGGAGCTGCTCATAAGACAAATCCAGCACTTTGTCCTACTGTCCAGAAACACTGGCAGTCCCATTTGCTGGTGGATACAATATCCCATCACAGACCTTCACTAGAAGAGCCTAGAGTTTCTCTTCAACTGAGCATACTTTATAAGTGAAAAGATACAGCTGCC